TCTATTCATGTCTTTTGCCCGCTTTTTAATGGAGCTGTTTGTTTTTTTCCTGTCAATTCACTGGAGTTCCTTATAGATTCTGGGTGTTGGACCTTTGTCAGATACATGGCTTTCTATTTTCTTCCACCCTGTGGGTTGTCTTTTCACTCTCTTAATGGTTTCTTTTGCTGTGCAAAAAACTTTTTAACCTTTAAAAAAATTTTTTTAAAGAAAAAATATTTTCAAATTGACTTAAAACGTAAAATCTAATTCAGCACTATTTACCAAAAACTACAACTACAACTAAACAAATAAGTAAGACTGAAAATAAAAGCTCGTCAAAATATGCCATTTAATTTAAAAATTGTGATTGATACACATACACACACACATAGTGGAATACTTTTCAGCTTTAAAAACAAAAAAGAGGTCCTGCCATTTGCCATTTGCTACATGAATACACCTGAAAGGACATTATACTTAGTGAAATAAGCAAAAGACAGAAAAATACTGCATGATCTCACTTCTATGTGGACTTCTTTTTAAAGTTGATACATAGAAACAGAGAGTAGAGCTGTGGTTATGGTGGGTTAAGTAGGGAGATAGGGTGAAAGGGCACAAAGTTTCAGTTATGAGATGAATCAATCTACAGCTTTAATGTACAGCATGAGAACTATAGTTAATAATACTGTACTGCTTGCTGGAAATTTGCTGAGAATAGTTTAGGCATCCTTACCTTACATGCAAAAAAAGGTAACTATGTGAGGTGATGGGTGTTAGTTTGCTAGACTGTAGTAACGTTTTACTATGTATATGTGTATCAAAACACCATGTTGCAGCTGGGCGCAGTGGCTCACGCCTATAATCCCAACACTTTTATAGGCTCACGCCCATAATCCCAACACTTTGAGAAGTCGAGGTGAGAAGATTGCCTGAGCCCACAGGCAACTTGGTGAGACCTCATCTCTACAACAAATAATAGTAATAATAAAATTAGCCAGGCGTGGTGGTGTGTGCCTGTAGTTCCAGCAGCTTGGAAGGCTGAGGTGGAAGGATCACCTGAGCCCAGCAGGTCAAAGCTGCAGTGGTCATGAGCATGCCACTGCACTCCAGCCTGGGTGACAGAGTGAGACTCCAACTCAAAAATAAATAAATAAATGAAGTCCCACATCTCAGGAACTCCCTCAATTCTGGGCAAACCTAAATGGTTGGCAACCCTATTAAAAACAGAGTGGCAAACAAGACCAAGACAGTCTCTGAGCTTATGGACTTTACAGTCTAGCAGAGGAATCACTGAATATATAATTATGAAAAAATATATATATTAAAAAATCATGTTGTATATCTTAAATATGTATAATTTTTTAAAGTATGCCATGTAGGTGCAAACCAAAAGAAAACAGGCATTATATTTTATCTAAGTAGGTGTAATTCTGGCTAATTAATATGCATTAAACAACATAAAGAAGGACATTTTAATGCTATACTGCAATTTCCAATAAAACATATTATATTATGAGTATATATGCACCAAAGATATTCATACTGCAACAAAAACAAAAGAAAAAGTAGACAGACATTAGCAATAAGAGATAGTCCACCACCTCTCAGTACATAAAAGATCAAGTAGAACCAAAAAAGTATATGGAGAAATAAATAACATAAGTAATGAGTTAACTCTAGTTGATGTATATCAAACTGCAATGCCCCTTTTCAATAACAGAACTGATGTATTTGGGACAGCAGTGTGCCTAGCTAAAATACTACATTCCCAGACTTCCCCACATATAGCCTATGTCTAAATTCTCACAGGGAGGTAAAAGTACAGTGTGGAATTTCTGGGAAATCTCCTTAAAGAGAGAGAGGCAGACCCTTAATTTTCCTTCTTTCTCCAGAAAAATGTGAATATGCTGATTCTAGCTTTAGCAACATCTTGTACTATGAAGACAAAGACATGTGAACAGTGACTAAGAAAGGTCTTGGGTTCTAACAACTTTGTAAAACTACTGGACCGGTCCTGAACTGCCCAACTGTAGATTTTTTTTCTCGGGGCGCGGGTAATAAAACCAACTCTGTGTTTTATGCTATTATAGTTGGGTCTGTGTTATATGTACCTGCACCTAATCTTAATAGATATGAACTTGAAAGCAAAGAATGCCCAAAGAACATTCACCAAAATTGACCATATATTTTAGGACATACACATACACAAACCAAACTCAAGAAAACAGATGGAGGGATTAGCCTAAAGCAAGAGAAGGGTCATCTCTTCCTCTGAGACTAGAAGGAGACCAGGTGCACATGCAGGTAAGTTTATAGATGTCGGCAGAAAGTCAAGGACTCTTCCCTCCTTCGTCACCTCAATTTTCTCTGTGAAATAGGAGCCAGAAATGTTTAAAAGATAGGGGAGAAAGTAAATAGAGGGTAAGAAGATTAGCATGTTTTGGATGTCACTAAGAGATAAAATAGGAAGTTGAGAGGGAACAAGCAAAAACACTGATTTTGTTTTTTGTTACTGTTGTTGTTCAAATTGAAGAACTAAAGTTTTCATCTTCATCCAGTTCGACAATGTATAAAGGGAAAAATAAAATGGTTATGTTTAGAGGATCATTAATAGTGAGAAAAATGGTGGTATAGACATGCAGTAAGAAAAATATTCCAACTATCTTCGAGCTTAGAGCTAGGGAGCAAGAAGCAATTGTTTGGAGGTTTTGCTGATGGTGGGTGTTATTTTTCCCTTTTCTCTTTTCCTTTTTCTTTTCTTTTTTTGCCTCAGTCAATGTGTATGCTGCAAATCAGATCCCTGTGGATCAAGGAGTAAAACCCCTAGTTTTAGGAAGTCAAAGCAAATTTACAACTCAAGATTAAAATATAAATGCAAAATTAAACAGACAATTTAATCAAATATCCCTAGCTTGTGCCTCAATGTGTGCCTCTCTTTTATTTTTGCAAATTAGTGCTAACTAATAATTTTGCCAGCTTAGTAGAAAACAAAGTTACAGAGGTACTAAACAAGAGTATTAACTCACCTTACTAAGAGTATTTTGTGAGCATTTTGTGAGAGCATCACCACCTGGTGGTAGATTCATGGTAATGACTAGCAATAAAACAGGATAGGGAAATGGCCAACTGTCATTGACAACATACATTATGACAGGACAAAAGCCTTGGCCAAGGCTGAGACCAAAAAAAGTAGTGCTATGAGTGCTTAGCTTCCAACTTAATACAATCACAAAAATTTTTCTTTAGAAGGATGATCTAGAGTCAAGATGTAAAATTCTAATATAATACCCCATGAAGTACAGAAACCTTGTCTACAAAATTATTGAGATATGGCATATTGCCTCTGCTAAATACATTATTCACCAGATACTATAGATTGCTAGAGAGGCTTAAATTGGGCTTAGATTTGAAATCTTTTGTGCCCTTCAATTAGTAAAACAAATTTTGCAACCTGATGCAGCATAGAGAAACCCCGATATAGTCTACAAACTGACTTCAAATATATTTTCTTATATTGCTCTTCATGGTATAAATATATCCCCATATTCTTCAAGTGACTTGATTTCTTGATCCCTTACATCCTGGTCTTCCAGATCTTTCAGATATATTTTGATTTGTCAACATCTGTTTTTAATACAGGACCTAAAATAAAACTGACTACCCCACATGTAGCCCAGCCAGTAGAATATAGGCACTTCTATTAACACTCATGTTTCCCTTGCAGATTTTTAAAAGCTGCATCATACTTCTATTCATTTGTTTTAGTTGCAATTATTCCTGAAAAGCTTTTTGTTATGTGGTGATCAGTAAACTGAGTGTTGGGACAGACCGAGTAGATTTAAGGGCTAGCATTTACTTTTGAAAGTCTATCTCTAACCCTCAGCTCTCTGCCTTCACTCTATAAACTTCCTCTATATACCCACTTATATAAGAAGAGGGACATGGTCCTGTGTAGTGTTTCACACCAGTGAGTTCGAGACCAACCTAGCAACATAGCAAGACCTCATCTCTACAAAA